CTATTGAAGAGGTAGGGTAATATTGCATGACACAGTAATATTAATAATCGTAAACACCATCAATTTTTTTTTTTGGTGCATATATCATGTGCCAGGACCTGTGATAAGTCCTTTACATATGTAATTTCACTTAGTCCTCATCACAAGCTTATAGGATGGGAATTGTTATCCCCATTCTATATTTGAGGAAACTGAGGTGTAAAAGGCTTAAATGACTTGCTTGAGGTCACAGAGAGGCAGGATTAAACCTAGGTCCACCTGACACCGCAGTTTGCTCTTAACCCACTGGGCTCTAAGGCCTCCTAAGACATTTTAAAAGATAAAAACAAATGACAATAAGAAGTAGGAGAAATTAACCTTCATTCACTAATAATAAACACAGAGGAGGTAAGTGGTGTGGGAGAGAAGGTAGGTCTAGATTTTGATTTGGATACAGGTTTTGTCTTATGTGTTACTCTGGGTAGGTTACCTTGGATGTTATCAAGAACCCAGGAATTGTCCTTTCTACCCTTCCATGTTTGGTGTGACATATTTTGTCCTTAGGTTAGCTGCTCTCATGAGCACAAGGTGGCTGCCATAGTTCCAAGCATCACATGTAGACTCAAAAAAAAAAGGTGTGCTTTTCCCCATACAGCATTTTCAAAAGCACAAAACCTTTCCTTTTTAGAATATCTTCCTCTGCCCCTACCTCCCAGCATGTCTCATCAGTCACTGGCAAGGGGACTGGAACTACCATAAGAATCTCAGACCAATCAGGTTTTATTCCTGGGGAAAATTGGGATAGGGTCCCTTTCCCTGTGGGGAAAGGTGAACACTACCAGTCCAACATTGGAGAAGGTAGGGTGACTGGGGTAAGCATTCAAAAAATATCCTGCAGAATGCCAAGTGCCCAGCACAGAGCCTGGCAGCTGGCAATGCTTCATTCCCTTTGTACCCATTCATCTGAATGGGGGGAAAGCAGTGCATTTTAATTAGTTTAGTTTCCAGTATGGGTCATTTTTAAAAGATATATTGTGATGCCTTTATGCAACCTAACAACTCAATGAAAAAAGAGTCTTCAGGGATAGTCCTGGCTGAGAAGTTTTCAGGAATAGAGAGAGATAACAAGAGATCCATGTATCTTATTAAAAGATCATTTTCAGAAAAAGATAAACTCCTGACTCTCATACAGATTATAAAATGAACATGTTTTAAAGAATTTATTTTACTCATATGATACGAGGGAATTAGGCAGATATAACCAACATATTAGTTTGCTAGGGTTGCCATAGTCAAGCACCACAAACTGGGTGGTTTAGACAACAGAATTATTTTTTCACAGTTCTGGAGGGTGGAAGTCTGAGATCAAGGTTGTTAGAGTTGGTTCCTTCTGAGGCTGTGAAGGAGAATCTGTTCCTTTCTCCCAGCTTTTGGTGGTTTGCTGGAAATCCATGTCATTCCTTAGTTTGTTAGATGCATTATCCCCATATCTGCCTTCCTCTTCACATGGCATTCATTCTGTGTCTGTCTGTCTCTTTATCCAAATTTCCCCTTTTTATAAGGACACAGTTATATTGGATTGAGACCCACCCTATGACCTCATCTTAACTTGATCATTTGCAAAGACCCATTTTCAAATAAAGTCACATTCACATGTACTGGGGGTTAGGACTTCAACATTATTTTTTTGAGGGGGGACATTATTCAACATATAACAGCTGTTTCCTTTTTTTTTTTTTAAGATTTTTTAAATTTATTTTTTAACAGAGAGAGAAACAGCGAGAGAGGGAACACAAGCAGGGAGAATGGGAGAGAGAGAAGCAGGCTTCCCGCCGAGCAGGGAGCCCGATGAAGGACTCGATCCCAGGACCCTGGGACCATGACCTGAGCCAAAGGCAGACGCTTAACGACTGAGCCACCCAGGCGCCCATAACAGTTGTTTCAAAGGAAAAGTCAAAACACATATTTATAAAAGTAAAGGAATGTTGAGATGAATTGCAAATGGAGACAAAACTGGGTTTTTTTCCAGTTTTAAGGACAGTTGGGGTGGTGGTGGGGTAGTCAGTTAAATCACTACCAGACAAGATAGAAATTCCATATCTATCAGTTACCTACAGCTTACAAAGCTTTATGAAATAACTCAAATACAGTGAATAGCACTACAATCTCATAACCTGGAAGAGTATGCTGTAGGAAGGGATGAATAGTTTTCCACTGAAACATAAAATGTTTATCTATACTATTATTAGTCCATTTATTTTATTCTATAGATGAAGGAGTCCCAAAATCTGCTGTGCATTAAGTAGTCCTGAAATCTTGTGTGCATGATTTACCTTCTTGGCAAACTTACAGCCACCTCCATTTTATAGGTCTGTTTCCTGTAAAGCTGAGTGGGAGATTTGGCCATGTTTCCTCAGTGGGCCTTTTGGATGCTTGAGGCCAGCACTACCCTCTGTGGAGATGTACAGAGTATGTTACAGATGCTCTCTGTTCTTTCCTTCTTAGTTACCTCAGGGAGGCAGGAAACCAGGCCACTCGGTGGATGCATTGCTCTAACTACATAAGCTACAAGATCCAGGACACCATGGGCCATTCTCTGCATTGTATTTACAATCCTCCAGTCCTCATGCCTTAGCCTCCAAAATGTATAGGGCATAACATACTGCTGTTATTATCTCTGTTGGCTGGGCCTGTCGAAATTCTTCCCCTGGCCAGCTGAGAGAAAAGGGCACACAGAGAAGGAACAGGTGTTCAAAATGTCTACATATTAAAAAATGCAACACAAGCAAGAGCTTCATAAGAAAATGTTAAAGGAAATGCAGGTACAGGGGCTCAAGAAAGAAGAAGTCAAACTCTCACTCTTTGCAGATGACATGATATTTTATGTGGAAAACCAAAAAGACTCCACCCCAAAATTGCTAGAACTCATACAGGAATTCAGCAACATGGCAGGATATAAAGTCAATGCACAGAAATCAGTTGCATTTCTATACACTAACAATGAAACAGAAGAAAGGGAAATTAAGGAATCAGTCCCATTTACAATTGCACCAAAAAACATAAGATACCCAGGAATAAACCTAACCAAAGAGGTAAAGGATCTGTACTCTAAAAACTACAGAACACTCATGAAAGAAATTGAGGAAGACATAAAGAAGTGGAAAAACATTCCATGCTCATGGATTGGAAGAACAAGTATTGTTAAAATGTCTATGCTACCCAGAGCAATCTATACATTCAATGCAATCCCTATCAAAATACTGTCAACTTTCTTCACAGAGCTGGAACAAATAATCCTAAAATTTGTATGGAACCAGAAAAGACCCCGAATAGCCAAAGGAATGTTGAAAAAGAAAAGCAGAGCTGGTGGCATCACAATTACGGACTTCAAGCTCTGTTACAAAGCTGTCATCATCAAGACAGTATGGTACTGGCACAAAAACAGACATATAGACCAATGGAACAGAATAGAAAACCCAGAAATGGACTCTCGACTCTGTGGTCAACTAGTTTTCGGCAAAGCAGGAAAGAATATCCAATGGAAAAAGGACAGTCTCTTCAACAACTTGTGTTGGGAAAATTGGACAGCCACATGTAGAAGAATGAAACTGGACCATTTTCTTAGACCAGATACAAAGATAAACTCAAAATGGGTAAAAGACTTAAATATGAGACAAGAATCCATCAAAATCCTAGAGAACATAGGCACCAACCTCTTTGACCTTCACTGCAGCAACTTCTTGCTAGACACGTCTCCAAAGGCAAGGGAAACAAAAGCAAAAATGAACTATTGGGACTTCATCAAGATAAAAAGCTTTTGCACAGCAAAGGAAACAACAAAACTAAAAGGCTATGAAATGGGAGAAGGTATTTGCAAATGATATATCAGACAAAGGGCTAGTATCCAAGATCTATAAAGAACTCATCAAATTCAACACCCCTTAGAGACAAATAATCTAGTCAAGAAATGGGCAGAAGACATGAACAGACATTTCTCCAAAGAAGATATGCAAAAGGCCAACAGACACATGAAAAAATAAATGCTCAACATCCCTTGGCATCAGGGAAATCCAAATCAAAACCTCAATGAAATACCACCTCACACCAGTCAGAATGGCTAAAATTAACAAGTCAGGAAACAACAGATGTTGACGAGGTTGCAGAGAAAGGGGAACCCTCTCCTACACTGTTGGTGGGAATGCAAGCTGGTGCAGCCACTCTGGAAAACAGTATGGAGGTTCCTCAAAAACTTGAAAATAGAGCTACCCTATGACCCAGCAATTGCACCACTAGGTATTTATCCCAAAGATACAAATGTAATGATCCGAAGGAACACATGCACCCCAATGTTCATAGCAGCAATGCCACAATAGCCAAACTAGGGAAAGAGCTGAGATGTCCGTCAACATATGAATGGATAAAGAAGATGTGGTGTTTATATACAATGGAATATTACTCAACCACCAGAAAGGATGAATACTTACAATTTACAATGACATCGTTGGAATTGGAGGGTATTATGCTGAGTGAAATAGGTCAATCAGAGAAAGACAGTTATCATATGGTTTCACTCATATGAGGAATAGAAGAAATAGCACAGAGGATCATAGGGGAAGGGAGGGAAAACTGAATGGGAAGTAATCAGAGAGGGAGACAAACCATAAGAGACTCTTAACTATAGGAAACAAACAGGGTTGCTGGAGGGGAGGGGTGTCGGGGGATGGGATCATTGGGTGATGGGCATTAAGGAGGGCACGTGGTGTGATGAGCACTGGGTGTTATATGCAACTGATGAATTATTGAACTCTACATCTGAAACTAATGGTGTACTATATGTTGGCTAATTGAATTTAAATAACAAAAGAAAGAAAAAGAAGAAATCTTTCTCCTTAATAAAAATAACATTGGGAAAAGATAAATTAAGAATTCTCTCCCCCATGATTCATATTCTCAGACATTCTTTGGCATTCACACTGTATAGTTTCCCTTTTTTTACTGTATTGTTTTTTTTTTTTCCCCAGAAAGAGAAAATCTTACTGGAGAAAACCATGCCAAGCCTGAGAACGTTGAGTACCCGAGGCCAAGTTCAACAAGGCCAGGGAACTTTCCGGCAAGAAATGATCCCATCTGTAACAAGGCCAGTCTCATGGGTTGTAGCTCACAATTGGCAGGAAGGTAAGTATCCTTTGCTCTGTTTGTCCTGCTCTCTAATTTACTCCCACCTGCTTAAGCTTTTACCAGTTTTCTAAGCATCATTCAGCCCGGAAGTTCCCCAAGCAGCTGCCCTGCCCTGGTCAAACGTCTCAGTCTTAAATTCTATTTCATCATCATAGGCCTTTTCAGGCAGAACCCATGCTGCAATGCTTGTGGGGGCCCTCATCATTTTTCTTTCCCGTCTCTTGGTGATCTTGTTTGTATGTCTGGAGAGAAAACATGAAAGGGATAGAGCGCTTTCCACTTCGTGTATAGATTGCAGACCTGGCTTCTCTCAGGCTTCTTAATTTCTTTTGAGACTTGGCGAGTGTGCCATTTTGCCTAGCTGACCCGTCCCGTGGAACCCATGGCATTTCTATCTCTTAGGAACCATACACTCTTTCTAAACTTTGCCAGTTCCCCTCACCTATTCCTTCTTTTCACATGTCTTCCACTAAGTGCGGACTCTATGACAGGCAATTTGCTAAGCACCTTGATGCATTATTTTATCCCACCTTCAAAACGGCTTTGTGGGTTAGGTAAAATAATGACTTCAGGCTTACAGTTGAGAAAGCAATGTTTAGGGTGTTAGAAAACCTGCCTGTGGTCACATAGCTAAGTTGAAGAGTCAGGATTTGAACCCAGGCTTCACTGACTAAAAAGTCAATATAATTTACCTGCCTGATCATGTGCCATGGGATTGAAATGTCTGTTATGAGAGTCTAGGAAAAGAATGCTGAAATCAATATATTCCATCAGTTATACAACTTTAAGGATACTTGAGTTGCTAAAACTGAGTTAGAGTGGGCGACTAGGGTTAGGTAAATTGTGATGAGTTATTGACATTCTCACAATGTGATGCTTCCTTCTTTCCATTGGATTGTTTCCTCTGATGGACTTCTCTCAAAGGCTGAGACTGTCCTTCAGCCTTATTAACCTCTCTGACGGCAAAAGGTTACATGATTTTCAGGGGGCCAGACTTTTAATGAATTCTAACAGATATAGCCTTGAGTTAAATTTAGAAAAACATAAAGTTTTATCTCTGGGATGCCATCTCCCATTTTTATTATTCTTTTCCTCTTAAAATAAAGCAACTAACAAAGATACTTTGCTTGTGCAAACTTTAATAAGGCTCCTGGACCTTCCCCTAGGTTCATCCTTGCAAAATCTAGTTTTAGCAAGAACCTTGATAAGTCGGTTTAACTAGAGCCACTCACCCTTGATTTCTGATCACCTTTGATATCTGATCAGGTTCGTCATCCCCCAGGTGATGTCTGATCATCCTGGCCTGTTGTCAGCAAGAATCCCATTAGGTGGGTTTAACCAGAACCCCTTTTATGCCTACTGTATCTCCTTAGTAATTTTTCATCCACTACACCCCTGCCCCCCCCCCCGCCACTCTACTCCTTGGCTTTAAATTCCCACTTGGCCCCCTCTATTTGGAGTTGAGCTCAGTCTCTCTCCCCGACTTCAAAATCCCATTGCAATATTCCCTGAACCTATCATGATGGTCCTGAATAAAGTCTGCCTTACCTTTTTTTAACAAGTCTCATTGAATATTTTTTTCTTTAACAGTTATGGTGCCATAACTCATATGGGATAAGATTCATCATTGGGCCCCTGGACTTCACACCTCGGACCCTAAGAATGCCCCTTTGAATGTCTTCCCTCCTGCCCAAAAGATTGAGGATCCATTGGAGAGTCTGACTCTGGAACCAGTGCTTCAGACAGACATTGTTGAAGCTGGTAAGGACAGATTTTGATTCTTAAGATTCTAAGTATACTCCAGAAGCTGACATAGAGTCCCAGACAAATAGATGCTGGGATAGAGTCCTACATTTCTCTGTTTGTAAGAAGATGAGTTAGAGTCCCTGGCTTCTTTGAAAGGTGCCGGCTGAGCTGGAAGTCTCTTTTTTCTGGCTCTCTTTCCCGAGAGGGAATTATTCCCTAACTCTCTGGGATGGAAGTCTTTCTTCTTGGTTCTCTGTGAGGCCTCTCTGTTCTCTTTGTTGGACTCTGCTTCTCCCATGGGAATTTCTCAGTTGACTGAAGCCCCCTTCTTGTACCTCTACTAATTTTAGGCTCTGCCAACTTGTCTACTTCTATTCTTGCTGGCATGATTTTGCTGAGGATAATTTAGAACTCCATTGGCCACTTTGGAAAACTTGAGATCTCCCCATACTGGCTCCTCTAAGGCCTCTCCCTTTCCATTGTGTCTTTCTTCCTTCCTCCTCTTAGCACCTTCACTATTCCTTCCAGTTCTCTTGAATCCTTTTATATGTTCCCCTTCAAACCCCCACCTCCTCTATTACTCTCCAACCCTGCCAGACTTTTCCCTTTCACTTTATCCTCTCAGTTCCCTACAGCCACTTGAATTTTAGGCCCCCTACCCTCTCTCAGGGGCTCTCAGGGAACTCAGGGACCTCCAGAAGCAACCACCTAAGGCTGAAAAGAGAAAAAAAGCTGTTTGAACCAGAGCTAGACGTTTTGTCCACTCAAATGTGCACTGGAGATGTCCAGATAGCTTCTAGGTCTCAGTCACTGGCCTAAACTTTAGTACACAGACTCCATCAGATCACATACCAGGGCAAAAGAAAAATTTAAAAATCTTCTCCACAAATATTGGCATGCAGGTAACATTAATTTGTCCCATTTGCTAGAAACACAATGGAGATAAAAATATAAAGTGGAGATAAACCAGTGAGTTTGTATTACTATGTTTTATTAACTTATGACTAAAAATTTTAGAATGAAAGCCAAAAAAAACTGTATTTGTCTATATGTTTATGTATGTGTGTATATATGTCTGTATGTTATACACAAGTGATATTTTTCTATCTCATGGTGGAATTATCAATTTATAAAATTCCCTCAAATGAGTTCGACTCTAATTGATTTAGAGATAAGTGGGCACTTACCTAAATTAAATTGTCCTAAAACTCTCAGAAATAAAGAAATTAATTGATGTGTGTGTGTTTAAGTTCGCATGATCTAGGATATTCTTTGGTAAATAAAGCTACTTAAAAAACTGTTGGTAAAATAAAATAGGTATGTCCTCAGAGTACTCAGGATTAATTACAGTGTGGTTATACAATTTTTTCCTACCTAGATTTACTAGTCAAACAAGCTTTTATTATCTCTGCTATATGTTTAAAATTATAAAAGTTTGAATTCAGCCTAAGAACAAAATGTAGAATAAAAATAGGAGCGCCTGGGTGGCTCAGTTGTTAAGTGTCTGCCTTCGGCTCGAGTCATGATCCCAGGGTCCTGGGATCGAGCCCTGCATCAGGCTCCCTGCTTGGCGGGAAGCCTGCTTCTCCCTCTCCCACTCCCCGCTGCTTGTGTTCCCTCTCTCGCTGTCTCTCTCTCTGTCAAATAAATAAAGTCTTTAAAAATAAATAAATAAATAAATTGCTTGAGGGAGAAGGAGCAAGATGGCGGAGGAGTAGGAGACCTAAATTTCTTTTCTTTTTTTTTTAAAAGATTTTATTTCTCATAATAATAATAATAAGATAATAAGAGATGAAGAAGGAAACTATATCCTACTTAAAGGGTCTATCCAACAAGAAGATCTAACAATTGTAAATATCTATGCCCCTAAAATGGGAGAAGCTAATTATAGCATCCTTTCATGATTAAAACTCTTCAGAGTGTAGGGATAGAAGGTACATACCTCAGTATCATAAAAGCCATCTATGAAAAACCCACAGCAAATATCATTCTCAATGGGGAAAAACTGAGATCTTTTCCCCTAAGGTCAGGAACACAGCAGGGATGTCCACTATCACCACTGCTTTCAACATAGTACTAGAAGTCCGAGTCTCAGCAATTAGACAACAGAAAGAAATAAAAGGCATCTGAATCTGCAAAGAAGTAGTCAAACTCTCACTGTTTTCAGATGATATGATACTTTATATGGAAAACCCAAAAGACACCACCCCAAAACTGCTAGAACTCATACAGGAATTCTGTAAAGTGGCAGGATATAAAATCAATGCACAGAAATCAGTGGCATTTCTATACACCAACAACAAGACAGAAGAAAGAGAAATTAAGGAATCAATCCCATTTACAATTGCACCTGAAACCATAACATACCTAGGAATGAATCTAACCAAAGAGGCAAAGAATCTGTACTCAGTAAACAATAGAATACTCATGAAAGAAATTGAGGAAGACACAAAGAAATTGAAAAATGTTCCATGCTCATGGATTGGAAGAACAAATATTGTGGAAATGTCTATGCTACCTAGAGCAATCCACACATTTAATGCAATCCCTTTCAAAATACCATAAGCTTTTTTCAAAGAAATGGAACAAATAATCCTAAAATTTGAATGGAACCAGAAAATACCCTGAATACCCAGAGGAATGTTGAAAAAGAAAAGCAAAGCTGGTGGCATCACAATTCTGGATTTCCAGCTCTATTACAAAGCTGTAATCATCAAGACAGTATGGTGCTGGCACAAAAACAGACACATAGATCAATGGAACAGAATAGAGAGCCCAGAAATGGACCTCAACTCTATGGTCAACTAATCTTCGACAAAGCAGGAAAGAATGTCCAATGGAAAAAAAGACAGTCTCGTCAACAACTTGTGTTGGGAAAATTGGACAGCCACATGTAGAAGAGTGAAACTGGACCATTTCCTTATACCACACACAAAAATAGACTCAAAATGGATGAAAGACCTAAATGTGAGACAGGAATCAAAATCCTAGAGGAGAACACAGGCAGTAACCTCTTCGACCTCAACAATAGCAACTTCCTTCCTAGAAACATCGCCAAAGGCAAGGGAAGCAAGGGCAAAAATGAACTATTGGGACTTCATCAAGATAAAAAGCTTTTGCACAGCAAAGGACACAGTCAACAAAACCAAAAGACAACCGACAGAATGGGAGAAGATATTTGCAAATGACATCTCAGATAAAGGGCTAGTATCCAAAATCTATAAGGAACTTATCAAACTCAACACCCAAAGAACAAATGATCCAATCAAGAAATGGGCAGAAGACATAAACAGACATTTTTCCAAAGAAGACATCCAAATGGCCAACAGATACATGAAAAAGTGCTCAACATCGCTCGGCATCAGGGAAATCCAAATCAAAACCTCAATGAGATACCACCTCACACCAGTCAGAATGGGTAAAATTAACAAGTCAGGAAATGACAGATGTTGGCAAGGATGCAGAGAAAGGGGAACCCTCCTACACTGTTGGTGGGAATGCAAGCTGGTGCAGCCACTCTGGAAAACAGTATGGAGGTTCCTTAAAAAGTTGAAAATAGAGCTACCATTTGATCCAGAAATTGCACTACTGGGTATTTATCCCAAAGATACAAATGTAGTGATCTGAAGGAGTATGTGCACCCCAATGTTTATAACAGCAATGTCCACAATAGCCAAACTATGGAAAGAGCCAAGATGTCCATTGATAGATGAATGGATAAAGAAGATGTGGTATATATATATATATATACACACACAATGGAATATTATATAGCCATCAAAAAAGCCAAAATCTTGCCATCTGCAATGACATGGATAGAACTAGAGGGTATTATGCTAAGCGAAGTAAGTTAGTCAGAGAAAGACAAGTATCATATGATCTCACTGATATGAGGAATTTGAGAAACAAGACAGAAGATCATAGGGGAAGGGAGGAAAAAAATGAAACAAGATGAAACCAGAGAGGGAGACAAACCATAAGAGACTCTTAGTCTCAGGAAACAAACTGAGGGTTGCTGGAGTGGTGGGGGGTGGGAGGGATGGGGTGGCTGGGTGATGGACATTGGGGAGGGTATGTGCTATGGTGAGTACTGTGAATTTTGTAAGACTGATGAATCACAGACTGTACCTCTGAAACAAATAATACATTATATGGTTAAAAAAAAAAAAAGATAGTAGGAAGGGAAAAATGCAGGGGTGGGAATCAGAGGGGGAGACGAACCATGAGAGATTATGGACTCTGAGAAACTAAGTGATGGCTTTAGAGGGGAGGGGGGCAGGGGGATGGGTTAGCCCGGGGATGGGTATTAAGGAGGGCATGTATTGCATGGAGCACTGGGTGTTATACGCAAACAATGAATCATGGAACACTACATCAAAAACTAATGATGTAATGTATGGTGACTAACATAACATAAAAAAATAAAATTAAAAAAATAAATGCTTGATGCATGTAAAGCATGGCAATTAAAAAAAAAAAGGAGGGAAAAACCGAATATTTAACTTTTAGATTCTTTGCTTTCATGATTTTTTTGTAACGTACCTGATTTGCCAACAAGAAAAATAGCTTATGATGGTTAGGTTTTGTTTAATGTCTCATGAAATTTTCATAAACAATTCAAGCATAGTTATAAGACAAGTAAATTAAATAGAGGTAAATGGGATACAAGTTTATAAATGGACTTTTCAACAATAATTATGCTTTATGTCTACTTAAAAATATTTGCGAAAATTGAAGATGTTATATACAAACCTAATGGTAACCACAAATCAAAAACCACTAAGAGATATGCAAAGAATAAAGAGAAAGAAATCCAAGTATAAAACTAAAGAAAACCAGAAAACCATGAAAGAGAGCAAGAGAAGAAAGGATCAGAGAAAAGCTACAAGAACAACCACAAAACAAAAAACAAAATGGCAATAAATTCATATCTATCAATAATTAATTTGAATGTAAGTGGACTAAACACTCCAATCAAAAGCTATAGGGTGACAGAGTGGATAGTATATATATGA